AACCATTAGCTGAATGTACTATCAATAAAATCCTGGGTCACAAGTACTCACCTTAATATTTAAAAAAAAAAAAAAAACTTTCAACATGCAATTATTTTAACTATTATATATACTAGTACATATATGCATAAAACTTCTTTAATTAATACTATGATTTTGATATAATAATAATAATGATAATACTTCAATTTGCTAATTGCTTAAAGATTTCTTCAACTTTATATATAGCTACAAACAAAAGTATTTACTGTTAGTAACTTGTATGATATATGCTATTATTTAAATAAAAAAATATACTTATTATAATTATTATTATTATGTATTGTTATCATATCTTAATAATGATTAACTTTTATATATCTAACTAAAATTTAGTATTAGAAATTCATATATATAAAACTTATCATTTAAGCAATATAACTCAATTCAATTGTTATGATATGGTCAATAAAATCAACAAAATAAGCATGTACATGCATAATATATAAATTAAGATAATGCATATAGTTCATAAACAAACTTAAAAAAAAATTTTCTATATTTATAACCCTATTCTAACAAAAAACAATATATACATCTACTTTGATTCTAACTATTAAACAGGATTGTTAACTAACCATATATATTATCTTAGTATACTTACATATGAATATGTATATTGTGTTTTACTTTATTGTGCAAATCTAATTAAATCTCTATAAACTTGTAGTATAATAAATTTAGTAGTTATAGTTTAGAGTTTTCAAGGTTCTATTATAATTATTGCAAGTAACAAAGTCATAGTTTATTAGTTAATATAAATACATAATGCTTTGCTATTTATGTTATGCCTTACAACTAGCTTTGTTATGTTCAATATTTTGATATTGCTGAATTGTATTAGTTTTCTTTTGTATTTGTAAATATCTAGCACTAAAATTACTTTGCTTTTTAATTTATGTAACCTTTCAAATACTTTTTTCTTGAAGCACCTTTTTTTGAATAAACTATCAGAATTTCAATTAAAATAAAGTCTTCATCACTAGAATTATAGTTTGAAGTAATATCTTTCTCATTGTTATCTTGTTTTTTCTTCTTTTTAACTTTCTTTTTTGGCACATATTTGATAATAAAACTACTTATAAAGCCTTTAAGCTCTTTAATTGCATTAGAACCAGTGTCCAATCCAGCTTGAATAGCTTTTTTTTGACAATTCATTCATAGTTGTATATGTCTTACAATAAGTAACTTTAATATAAGCTTTATTAAATAAGATATTTGGTAAATAAAATAATAAATCAAAAAAGGCTTGTTCAATATTAACAGAAGCTTTCAAGTTTATATTATCACTCAAACTAATAATAAAAGAATGTAACTGAGTTTCTAATTCTGGTTCAATTTGTTTTTCATCAATGTACCATTTTTTTAATATAAGTATAATGTAAAATGCTACATAAGTAAACACTTTGATAATCTAAAAAAAGTATTTGCAAACAAAACTACATTGAATTAAATTAAGACATGTGCATAGATGTAAATTGTTTTTAAACAATATAACATAATTTTTTGCTTTGTGTTTATGCTATATAACTTTCCAAACTTCAATAATAGATTCAATTTTTATAAATGATACTAATTCTTTAACTAAAATAGCAGGCACATCCACTATATCTTCAGTAAAGACATTAGAAGTCTCAATAGTATTTAATTGTTTTGTTAAGTTGAATTGTCCAATCAAATTAGATTGTTCAATTTGATCAAATTGTTCAATTGAATTAAATTTCAAGTTTTGAATATTAATAAGTCATGCTATATACTACATGGCTTGGGCAATCTCTTAATGTTAAATAGATAATAAAGTTGGTATTAAATAAAAGGTAATTCATTTGTCAATGTTAGATAAAACTTCAGAACTAGTATAGATAAGCATAGATTTTATAATAAAATAAACCCAACATTTATATTAAATAAAAGTAAACATACAGTTAATCTGCTCATCAATATGCTTTACAAGATTAATTAAAGAAGTATCTCCATTTACTGAATTTTTAATAATGCTAATTTGCTTTTTAACTTTTTGTATTGACTGCATTTCTGTAGTAAAATTTTAGACATATAACAAAGAGCCTAGTATTCTTTTTTATTAAAAAGAGCATAATTAAAATATAAGGAAGTATTTGAGAATTTAATTAAAAGTTTGTCTTATAGATAGTTAAATTGTTGATATGAAAGCAAGTTATGTGTGTGATAACAATTTTGTAAGAATTTATAATAATGTTCATCTAGTTTGCCTTTTAAATTTTTTATTAGATTCTGCCTGATATAAAATATATAGTAAATATGGGTTGTATCAGGTAAGACATTAGCTATTGCTACATTAATGACTAGATTATTATTAGTTATTGTTGTTAGAGATGCAACTTTTGTGTTCATAATCAAAGTTTGCAAAACTTATGCATAGCTTTCTATTGTTTCATTATTCATAAGAGATTGTTCTGCCAACTATGACCAATTGTTGTTATCTACTATTACAAAAAACTTTAATACTATTTTAAACCTATTTGTAAAATAAGTATTGTTATGTTGAACAACATCTTGATATTGCAAATACAAGTTATATTGATCAAATAACATCCAGAATAGAGAGGTAAGTGAATTATTGACTGAATCAACTTTTCAATTAACAATTCATCTAGTATTCTTAGCTTTTAATTCAAGAAGATTATTAAGCAAGACAGCTGACTTATATTCAATATAATTTTGCTATTTGAATAATTAAATAGCATTTGAGAGATTCTAAGGCAAGAAAAAAGCATTGGAATACTATTTTATTAACATTTGATATTATTTGTTTTAGTTCAAAATTTAATATCATAGGGGTGTAGTGACCTAGTGAAGTGGTCAGATTGTTAATCTTCTAAATGGTAGGTTGGGTATTCAAATCCTATTGATGGTAAAAATTTTGATAATCACCTATGTAATATTTGTATTATGACAACTGTTACTAATAATTGAATAAGAATACCTGTAATAGCAGTTATACCAGCATGACTGGCAGGTCATGAAGCATCTGTGCAATATTGAAGTTATACAGAGGAATGCAAACTAACAAATTAGGTGATGCAAACACTAGATAAGTTTTTGTAGCTATGTAAATCTGTTGAAATTGGGTAACAAGAAGTCTATTTGGAAAAACCCAAGTAGAGAGGTAGTTGAATCTTTAAGGCCCTACTGTAAAAGCTAGCTCAATGAAATAGATATCAAGGTCTAGTACTCAGTTATAGTAGTCAGATAGGCAAGAACCTCTAGGTTGGGAATCTTAGAAGTACCACTAACTAAGCTGCCAGAATGAACCAAAGAAAAAGGATATCAGGCTGACCTGATATATCAATAGACTGGTTGTAATCCTACACAGACTATCTGAATTGGAAGTTTGGTAAAAAGATATAAAAAAAGGCAGAAGTATACTAAAGTACAAGAGTTATACTATAAAGTAGATGCTGGGATCTAAGTGAGCTCTATAAGAGCATAGTGGTTTAATGGTTAGTTCTGATCGCAAATGTTGGTTCTGTTATAGCGACATCTAAGTCAGCTGTAAAAATGAGTACAGAAGGCTTTAGAGGGTTTACCTTAAGGATAAATTAGTCCTAAGGTAAGATGATAATCTGGGCATTTGGGTATGATCTAGTGAGTTAATACAGATTACAGATTCAGAAGGTTTAAAGTAAAACATCCAAGCAGAGATGTTAGGTATAACAATTGGTAGGGAACCTTTAGGCAGACTTCTTAAATAGATAATATAGAAAAGTTATATATATAGCTAATTGTACTCTTTTTTGTAGTGGTTCATTTAATCACAATACCAATAAGTGATTAATAAATGTTAAAAGACCAAAAAGGTCATCTTAATATCAAAAAAAAAATAAAAAAATTTAATATTGTTTAGTATATCCTGGGTCTTTATCATTTCCTTAACAATCATATCTCTGACACTCCCTTCTCCTATAATCATTTCTCTGACATGTTAATTTCTCTGACAATCATTTTTCTGACTTGTTAATTTTCTTAATAATCATTTTTTTCAACAAGATCATTTCTCTGATATGATAATTTCCCTAACATGATCATTTTCTCAACATAATCATTTCTCTGATATATTATTCACCTGACATACTATTTACCTAACACAATTATTTCCCTGACATATCATATTCACCTGACATATCATTTTCCTAACATGATCATTTTACCGATAATTACAAAATTACTTAACTAATAAAATTATCTGCTTTTTTTGTATTGTAAAATAAATAAACATCTTATGTTCACTCTTTTCAACTCCAATTCAAAATTCTCAAGATCATATATCCTACTAACATTTACCATTCCAGCTGCTTTTTTTTTTTTTGCATTGAAAATAAATGAATATCTTATATTTTCTTTTCAACTTCAATTCCATGAATATAGCAATTCCCAAGATTATATATTCCATGTACATTTACCATTTCAGCTGCTTTTTTTTTTGCATTGTAAAATAAATGAACATCTTATATTTGCCCTTTTCAACTCCAATTCCATGAAGGTAGTAATTTCTAAGATTGTATGTTCCACTAATATTTACTATTCTGGTTATTTTTTTTTTGTATTGAAAATAAATGAATGTTTTTAAGTTTGTCCTTTTTAACTTCAATTCCATAAAGGTAGCAATTCCCAAAATCATATGTTCTACTAATATTTACTATTCTGGCTGCTTTTTTTTTGTATTGAAAATAAATGAACATCTTATATTTTTCTTTTTAACTCCAATTCCATGAAGGTAGCAATTTATATTTCATTACCATTTACTATTCTGGTTGCTTTTTTTTTTGTATTGAAAATAAATAAATGTTTTATATTTTTCTTTTTAACTCCAATTCCATAAAGGCAGTAATTTTCAAGATCATATGTTTCACTAACATTTACTATTCTATTTGCTTTTTTTTTGTATTGTAAAATAAATGAATGTTTTATATTAGCTCTTTTCAACTTCAATTTCATGAAGGTAGCAATTTTCAAGATTATATGTTTTACTTATATTTATTATTCTGGCTGTTTTTTTTTTTTGCATTGAAAATAAATGAATTTTTTATGTTCTCACTTCTCAACTCCAATTTCATGAAGGTAGTAATTTTCAAGATTGTATATTTCACTAATATTTATCATTCTGGCTGCTTTTTTTTTTTTTTGTATTATAAAATAAATGAATGTTTTATATTCATTCTTTTCAACTCCAATTCCATGAAGGTAGCAATTCCTAAAATTACATGTTCTACTAACATTTACTATTCCAGCTGCTTTTTTTTTTGTATTAAAAATAAATGAATATCTTATATTTTTCTTTTCAACTCCAATTTCATAAAGGTAGCAATTTATATTCCACTAGTATTTACCATTCTGGCTGTTTTTTTTTTTGCATTGAAATAAATGAATATTTTATGTTCACTCTTCTCAACTCCAATTCCATGAAGGTAGCAATTCTCAAGATTGTATGTACTACTTATATTTACTATTCTGACTGCTTTTTTTTTGCATTGAAAATAAATGAATGTTTTATGTTCACCCTTCTCAACTTCAATTTCATTAAAGTAGTAATTTTCAAGATCACATGTTTTACTTACATTTACCATTTCAGCTGTTTTTTTTTTTGTATTGAAAATAAATGAACATCTTATATTTTTCTTTTCGACTTCAATTCCAAATTTCCAAGATCATATATTTTACTAACATTTACCATTCTGGCTGTTTTTTTTTTGCATTGTAAAATAAATAAACATCTTATGTTTGCTCTTTTTAACTTCAATTTCAAATTTCCAAGATCACATGTTCCACTGGCATTTACTATTCTGACTGCTTTTTTTTTGTATTGAAAATAAATGAATGTTTTATGTTTACCCTTCTCAACTTCAATTTCATTAAGGTAGTAATTTTTAAAATCACATGTTCCACTAGCATTTTCTATTCTGGCTATTTTTTTTTTTTGAAAATAAATGAACATCTTATATTTTTCTTTTCAATTCCAATTCCATGAAGGTAGTAATTTCTAAAATCATATGTTCTACTAACATTTAGCATTTTGGCTGCTTTTTTTTTTTGCATTGTAAATAAATGAATGTCTCTTTTTAACTCCAATTCATGAAGATAGTAATTCCCAAGATCATATGTTCCACTAGCATTTCCTA